TTTGTAACAACTACAGAAAAAATGTAATTAATTCCAAAAATCTTTTTAGGACCCCACCTTGATGTTTCAGGACATCCACTTTGGGTCCCGACCCCAACTTTGGGAAACACTACCCTACCCTACCCTACCCTACCCTACCCTACCATACCATACCATACCATACCATACCATACCATACCAACTGTATTTATAAAGCACATAAACAACCATAGGACCAAAGTGCTGTACAGTCTCAGTCAATAAAACACACAGCAGTCACAGTGCATAATAAAAGCCTAATCTGGAAATTAAAACTAAATAATAAAACAAACAAACAAACAAACAAAAAAGCATAAAACTGATTCAAACAAATTAAAATAATCTCCAAACAAACTGAGAGTCAACATCTCAAATGGTGCCAAAAGCTAAAGAGAAGAGATGGGTTTTAAGTCACGTTTTAAAAGCCGACAGGTTATGAAGAGGACAATTAAAAAAGAGGTAAAAATGTTCACAAGATCAAAAAGAAACAAAGAAAGACAGCACACTATTTCACATTCAACGAGTTATTGAAGAGGTTGTCCAAACAGTGGGTTAAACCTTTTGACCCACTATTTGGCCAAACTATCCAACCTGTGACCCAACAGAAAAGAACCCAGCAGTTTTCAGTGTCACAGTTTTGTCTGRCAAAAGCAACAATTTAAATGTTCCAAGTTACTGGATCAAAGTCTAAATGTAAATCAAACTGTGACCATTGTTCACACTTTGCCCACTTTTGTGAAAYGCATGTCAAAAGTTTTTATAATTTTGTACATTTGAACAGTTAATCGARTGCTTTAACAAAACAGAAAGTGAAATACCATTCCAGCACACAGAAGAAGGCAGATTGAGTGCCATGTGTTTGTGGAGCCCAGCTGAACTCTGCCTGCTAAACCAGTCTGCTGGCTGTGACAGACTGTCAGGCAGGGAAATAGAGAGGGTGGTGTATGTGTGTGTGTGAGAGAGTGTGTGTTTTACAACAAGAAAGGCATGAGAAAACGAGACAAAGAAGCAGACTGACCAGTAGGGAGAAACACAAATAACAAACCAGAGTAGAGACAAAAGAGGCACATACAAAAAGACCCTGCAACTTCAAGAGAATCACAGAAATGATAGAGGAAAGGCGGCGTGCTGTAGTCAAACATGAAAAATGAGAGAATGAGAGCGGGGAGAGGAGGAGGCCAAGCTTTCTGTGGCTTAGCCAGACTGGAGCGGTGGGACTTGGCAGCTTATGGACCCTTGGCTTCTCTACTAAAGCAAGGAAGGGAAAAAAAAATCTCAGTCAAAAAATGAAAAGGGCAACAAGCTATGCCAAGAATGCACAGGCAAGAAGCAACACATAGGGTTCTTTCCTTCTGCCTGCCTTCCTTTCTGTTTCCCCGAGCACATCTAAACAAAAGGTGGGAGCAACCTCAAGAACTGATCTTCATAAAGTCAGAACCCCACAGAGTGATTCAGCCTCACATTTGTTTAATGAGCATATTATCCTAATAAACAGAAATGCTTTTTTTATCTCCCATCCTAAGAAGTTTGAGAGACATAAAACACTAAAACTGGTTCCACTTGGTCACTATCACCTTAAATCAAAAATAAAAAAGGTCAAAGTTTGAAATAAACAGTAAACTTTAAATATTTTTGCATTATTGTGAGATGTCACTTATTTGTTGTGAATTATTCTCAGCTACTACCACATCAAAGTTAAGCACAATATCTTTAAAATGACTGAGTTGAAGCTGTAGTGTCTGAAYTGATGAGTTTTTGATGTTCAGTCAATGATTACTGATTGTTTGTGAGATATTTTGCTAACAGACAGATTGTGTTCTCTCCAAAAATGAATGAAGTTTTTAGCAAAGATGCTGCACATTGTGTACTGTAGCTTTGTGAGAATGAATAGTTTCATGGTAGACATCACTATTTTAAACCCATCAAACACATTTTACACATTCCCCCCCAGTTTTATGTCTGTCTTGTTGATAATTGTTAGGACATGAAGTTAAAATACATGCTTAGGGTTGGAGTGAATGTATWAAATGAAGTTAAGTTACATGACGTGGTTACTGGTTACTTATTGTAATCTTTATGTGGCTCAGTTGGTGTAATGTGACTTGAATATTTGCCCAACAACTACATAGTAGGAAAAACCAAAAGTAT